CTGTTTACTCTGCTCACATATGATTGTGCAGCTACCCATCCAGGCTGTCACATTGTAAAGTTTGCAGATGATACAGCGGTGGTGGGATGCATCACAAACAATGATGAGTCCAGCTACAGGCAAGAGGTGGAACACCTGGAGAGCTGGTGCAGAGAGAATAACCTTCACATCAATGTGAAGAAGACAAAGGAGATGATTGTGGACTTCAGAAGGAACAAAAACACCTACACCCCCCTGAACATAAGAGGATCTGCGGTGGAAGTGGTCTCCAGCTACAAGTACTTGGGTGTACACATGAATGACAACCTCAGCTGGAGCAACAACACCACCAGCCTGATCAAGAAAGCTCATCAGAGACTCTACTTCCTCAGACGGCTGAGGCGAGCTGGTCTGGGAAGCTCAGTCCTCACCTCCTTCTACAGGTGTGCAGTGGAGAGCATCCTGTGCTCCAGCATCAACGTGTGGCATGGAGGCTGCACAGCTGCAGAAAGAAAAGCTTTGCAGAGAGTGGTGAAGGCTGCACAGAAATCTGTCGGAATCAGCCTCCCCACCATCACAGACATCTACACCTCCAGATGCAGGAAGAGGGCCACCTGCATCATGAAGGACCCCACCCACCCAGCACACACACTTTTTGCCCCACTCCCCTCAGGAAGGAGGTTAAGGAGCATTAAGTGTAGAACCACTAGACTGAGGAACAGCTTCTACCCTGAGGCTGTTAGACTCATGAATCTCTAACTAGAATAATCACTGTGAAAAACCATATCATGTTGCTGCTGATCTGTTTCATGTTGCTGCTGATCTGTTTCAATGTTGCTGCTGATCTGTTTCAATGTTGGTGTGTTCATGCGTGCACATCTGCTCACAGACTCATGTTCATGTTTGTGCTGATGTTCAATGTTTTATGTTATTAGTGCTTAGTGTATATTTAGTTGATGTTTTTCTTAGTTCATATCTTAGATGTTATTACTGTTTTTCTTATACATTTTATTGTTGGATGTAACTGGGACCCTGTGTACATAATTTCGCTCCACCACATGTACCACATGAGGTGCGAATGACAATAAAGAAACTCTGACTCTCTGACTCTGACTCTGATATGCTGTATCTCTAATAAGTCTGGTCACTGCACAACAATTAGCCAATCGTACAGTTTCCTCCGACCTGGACCTGGAGCACGGTAAAGTCCGGTTCGACGTCAGTCTTAGATCCAAGTTCCATCTGTCGAGGTAACTGAAGCTCACCATGGATCCAGATCTCACAAGCTGTTAGCTCTGCTCAAATTAATTAAACTGTTTCTTCAAACTGAATTGTTCAGAGTTATTTGCAACAGGTAAGATATTGAGTGTCTGGTACATTTCCATAAACCCTCACATCCAAAATGAATAAAAAGACATTACCTTTAAAATCTAAAACATTTTTCCTACTTAAAGTGTGAGAGACAAGTTAACAAGTGTGATATTTTACTAACATGTTCAGCTCACAGATACGCGCTTCCTTTAGCTCAAACACAGAGAAGCTTGCATGACTCACACAGACTTGTACATCTGTGTGTGAGCAGTTTCTTGTCACTTTGCATCAGTGCACTAATGATCTTTATATAAACAGTACCACACTCTTTCTAATGGACACTTTTTGTAGAAATGCATTTTTCATTTTATGCTCATATCATAGAAGCATTTGTATTTTTCTAAAACTTACTCAATACACAGTTGCCTTTTAATATTTATTGGATAAATGTTTTCTTGATTAGAGCAATGAAAGCACACAATCAGCCTCTTGTTGTCTTCTGCCAACTCCAACTTAACTGCCTCTGTTTTAAGCACAGCTCATGAAGTTGTTTGTGGAAAATCTGAGCTCGTCACAGAGAAAATAGTTTTATACAGTCTGAGTTATGCATGTTTGCCAAAAATGAAAAATAGCTTTATTGCTTTGAAGCTATGACAGACTTCCTGTAGTTCCTGAGTTGCATGTGTTTCATAAGTCCTCTATTATGTCCTCACATAATTCAGACACAGCATGAAGATGAATGTTTGTGTAGTCGTGCTGTAAGGGATGTAGAAGCTGCAGCTTACTGATGATAGTGATGTAAGGTGAAAAAGCAGCTGTGTATTCAGTGACGCAGCAAACAATAT